TCCTCTGAATTCTTTCCAAGGATTCTATATCCATTCTGTAATACGGTGACCAGAACTGAACTGCGTAATCCAGGTGAGGTCTCACAAGCGCAAGATATAATCGTAAGATGACCTCGCTAGTCTTGTAACTAACACTCCTTTGTATGAACCCAAGTACTTTATTAGCCTTGTTACGAGCAAACACACATCGTTTACTTGGCTTAAGGTTCCTACTTATCATTACTCCTAAATCTTTCTCGCAGTCGGATTTCCCAATGGCATCGTTGTTCATCTGGTAACCGGTTTCCCTGTTTACATCTCCTATACTGAGTACTTTACATTTGTCCACGTTGAATTTCATCTGCCATTTTTCAGACCATTCGAAAATTTTTTTTAAATCCTCCTGTAATTTTGCAGAGTCCTCGTCAGATTTAATAACACGTCCTATTTTAGTGTCATCAGCAAATTTACTTATGTTGCTGTCTATGCCGATATCTATTTCGTTTATGTATATAATAAATAATAATGGTCCAGTACTGAGCCTTGGGGAACTCCACTAGTGCCGTTAATGCTCACTCGCTGTTTCCTGTCCTGTAACCATGCCCTAATCCATTTAAGGATATTACCTTTGATGACATGCGCTTCTACCTTTCTAATTAGTCTTTCGTGGGGGACTCTGTCGAAGGCTTTGCTAAAGTCGAGATATACCGCATCATAATTGTGCCCCTCGTCCACCGTTTCAAAAACTGATGAAAAGAATGTTAATAGATTAGTTAGAAATGAACGCCCGCTTGTGAAGCCATGCTGGGAATCATTGATCAATCCGTGCTTCTCCAGGTGATTTCGAATAGAGTTTGAAATGATTGCTTCCAGTAATTTGCCTACTATTGATGTTAGACTGATTGGACGGTAGTTAGAGGATAGTGATCTATCCCCCGTCTTGAAAATCGGTATTACATTCGCTATCCTCCAGGATTCTGGTACTACACCTGCTTTTAAGGACAAGTTAAACAACTTTGCTAAGGGCATACTAAGCTCTTCCTTACCTTCCTTTAATACTCTGGCAAATATCACTAGATCTACCACCACCATCGGTACTACCACCATCACTACATCTACCACCATCACCAGTACTACCACCATCACCAGTACTACCACCACCATCAGTACTACCACCGTCATCAGCACTACCACCATTATCACCTCTACCACCACCAGCTCTCCCTATCAGTGGTCATCACATCATCTCCAAGTCACGTTGTTGTTCTGAGATACACACGTTCGTGTTTATTTACCACCTGAGGCCTCGTGGGGGGAGGGGGGTCTCTGACATAACGAATCACCTGAAGATTAGACACCCCAGCTTATTTCACCTCACGAGTAAACACTTAACCTAATTTATCTAACCTTTCCAGGTACCGTTATGGTGTTTACTCATTAGGTGAAATAAGGTGGGGTCCTGTTCTTCAGGTGATCCCTGATTACTTGTTTACCAAGAACATCTTTGTTATTCTGTTTGTTAGTGTAGCTTACAGGGTATTAAGGCCTGAAGTCTGAACGGCGTGGCTCAGACACACTAGTACGAGTATGATCGGTTACACACACACACACACACACACACACACACACACACACACACACACACACACCAATGTCTGACAGCATATTCTGCGTCTTGTTCCGGAGCGGTTGTGGTCAATATTAGTCACAGTTTTACTGCAACCAGTAAAGGGATCATTTGTGGTTAGCGCCGCGGGGTCTTGACTGGACTGCTGCAACGTCAGTACGTCACTCAGTTTCAATAAGTGGATGACAAGGGGGAGGAAGGCAGGACGGGTGAGGACACCGAGTAGAACCCCCCCTCCAAGCCTGTGGGTAAACCCAACTTGTGAACAACCAACATCTCCTTTCTCCTCCTCCTCTTGTAACAATCGCAGCAGCAGCAGCAGCACCCCTGACGGTGCGAGCCTTCTACTGTTGGCTACATGTCGCCTTAAATGTGAGCGTTAATTGTACGTCAATTGTCGTTTCCGATACGCACACCACAAACATTCTTCCACAATGTTGTGTTAGATATTTCACTCACCGATGAATATTTATCGTTCTAAATATTCAAATATTTGATAACAATCATCAGGTACAACCCGACCATATATACACTATATGGTGAAAGCTGTAACACGAAAATTATTGTATGCAATTAATAGTTCACTCACCCGAGCACTGAACTGTTCACCAGGTCATAAATAATGAAAGGTCGCCCCCCTTGACAGTATTTGGCAAAAGTCACAGACACATCCTGAGGTTAAGTCATCCCAAGCTTTCCTTTGACGGTCAAATTTTATTTTAAAAGTTAGTACTGATCAAGTGATTTATAATATTGTAATTTTTATTTTTTGACCGAACTCACTTGAAACTTCTCCTGCCATTAATATTATGAGTTGGGAGACATAACGTGAAGCGTTACACACAAACCAGTAACAGTCAATCTACAGGTAGCAATGCTCGACAAACTTTTGCCAGTTAAATATTTCCCGCATCAGGTTAGTGACACATCACCTCAACTTTACAAAGGTGACCAGGGAACCGAGACTCCAAGGGTAGTCTCAAGTTATTAAAAGGGTGATGTTTTTTATCTTTTATTTAAATTTTTTATAGATTACATAATACAGAGACATTACATAATTATCTGTGAAATATGTGGATGATTTGTCTTTTAAAATATCTTTGATCATCCATTTATTTTAACGTCTTAGTTTTAATCCACATACAGTAAATATAATCTGAAATTAGCATGATCACTATATTCTTATCCTTATTATTACTACAATTACTATTAAACATTAACAAGTGCAGAAATAATTCTATTAACACTGCAGAGTCGCAGACTGTATTAGGAAATTCTTATAAAGGTGTTATCAAGACCTCGTAGGCGCAGTCAGTTTATTATGAGAGATGAGTGTTGTCCTCAGTTAATAAACACTGTACCCGCCTTTTGTCCCACTGTATCCCCTTATGAGTTCCATCGCTCGCGGTGACTATGGGAGCCAGTACACTACACCATAACGGTAGGTAGTGACGCCAGACCCTTTTGACACACCATCCTCATGACAGATTGCTCTCCGTCACTTACGCTCTAGATACCCGCCTGATTTTTTAACTTTCACTGACCAAAAAGTACAATCTGTTCGACACATGGAGTTCATCACCTTTCCGGGGTAACAGCTGTGTTCCTAGTTCGGGGGCGTTTTTCATCCTGGTAAAAGTTCTTCAAGATAATCCCAGCAGATGTGAGGCTTGCCACGAATGCAGTATCTTGCCAGCCTTTGTGACTCAACAAGCAAACTTTGATCCGTCTTGCCAGAAATCTCCTCATCACTACCACTCACTGGGGCGGCGCCTCACATAATATGAGCCACACACCAGTGTCTCTCGTGTATTGACTCACACATCAACTGATTCACAGAAGTGATGTTTCATTAAACCTGATATTAGCGCTACTAAAATCTACCGAGTGTAAAATTTTTAGTTCGAGGTTGAACACACTGGTCGAGCTCCCAACTTATTTTGGCCAATTCGCATAGAAACCCAATCGGTCATAATGCCAAATGAGAAAACAACTAGAACGTGCGACACACATTGATGGCAAAATTATCGTTTCGGTCATCCACCGATTTGGAAGTTGTTCAAAACATCAAAAACCATCGGAAAAAAATAATTTCAACATAACATAACTTAACCTCAAAACTTGAAATCCTAAAATTCGCTGGATGGCCGAAACGATAATAATACTCATTATACAATAAAACTAAACAAAGGCACTTACGGGGAGTTTGGTTAAGACAGGACTAACTAATGTTTGTCTGATAGTCTCAGATATAATTATTTCGAACACAATGAAGGGTCAATGTTTACTTTCGGACAACACTGGAAATTTAGGAATTTTATCTTTGCCAATCAAGAGTTTGGAAGTTAGTTCAGGTAATTTGCGATGGAAACGTCATAGTAGAAAAGCGTCTTAGAATCGTCGAAATAACTGATTACAAAGACAAAATTCGTAACTTTCCCCGTGTTGTCCAAAAGTAAAATAATACCCAATCAAGACCTACACAACTTGGTAAATATATACAAGACAAACAACAGTTAAGCTGAAGTTTGGGTTTCCAACAATACCTAATCTCTACCATAACAGAAAAGGAAAAAAAAAATATCAGTATCCTTGAAAAAGAAGTAGGCATGTGTCCCCCCCCAACCCACAATGAAAACAACGCAGGGACGCTCCACCAGACTGAAGGATGAACAATATGCACCATCATCAGTCAATGTCACTAGCCAGTAATGTTGTTCTTAACGTGAAATATTAACTTACGACACTATATTTTTATTTATCTATTTACAACAGGTGTTTCATTACGGTCAGGTGTGTACTACCTTTACTAATGACAGGTATGGTGGACTGTCCTTACTAATGACAGGTGTGGTGGTGTCCTTACTAATGACAGGTGTGGTGGTGGTAGTCTATCTTTACTAATGACAGGTGTGGTGGTCTGTCCTTACTTATGACAGGTGTGGTGGTGTCCTTAATAATGACAAGCGTGGTCTGTCCTTACTTATGACAGGTGTGGTGGTCTGGCCCCAATAGTGACAGGTGTGGTAATGGTCTGGCCCCAATGACGGGTGTAGGAGACCAATATCCGTGCATGTTAGCAGGTTTCATCAGCGTATGTCAACAAGGCAGCCAGCCCCCAGCACACGATCTCACATTGACTCCCCCCACCATGATAACAGCAGAGAATTACACGGGTCATCGCGGCTTTGAAGTCTTGACAGCGGCCACAACCTCCATGTAAAGCAAGGATCTGTACCAGTGTCCTTCAGGTGGTTATAGAAGTTATAATTCCGTGACGTAGTGGCTGGAGGATGGATGCATGAAATCTACCTCATTTCGTCTGTAAACAACTCGTGTCAAGAAATTTAAAAAAAACTAACACAATCGTACCAAAATCTAAATCTTTACTTACCCCATCCTGAAGTGATTTCAGTTAATAAACCCAAATGTAACGAAATAAACACTAAGGTGTTTTCCTGCGACACACTCCACCTTCCACCACTGATGTACACTGAATGAGGCGTGGGGCGAGAGTCACCACCCGCACAACAGGTTCATTGTCATAACTAAAGTTGCCTACTGCTACCATATATTACGTTAACGCAGCTCTACGCCACATGCAGGAGGCATCATGCTTTGACATATCATTCGTATTGTGAGCTTAATTATATATATTCTAATTACGAAGAATATGGTAAAAAATATAAACTATTAGGTGTTTTACAGAGAAGTTGTTAACATTGATAACGACATATGACAACTGATCTTTCTTGACTCGTTCCTTTATTTTTTTTCTTTCACTAACTCTCGTAAATGTTCTCACTCGCAGCAAAATATGAGAGAAAGTTAGCAGAAAGACCCAGAAGTTGTTCTCTGAAGTCATTAGAAACACCATCCAGGTAAAGCTGCCGGAGTAATGAACAAAATTGGGAAGAACTTAACAACAACTGAGTGAGATCGTCAAAATAAAAGTCTACATATTACTGCTTACATGTTTCTTTACGTCCTTTCACGATCACTGGATGCCTTTGACATAAGAAAAGTATAAAAGTAATATCAAGAGGTCATTGTACTCCTGTAAAAAGAAAAAGAGAAAGTACGGGTAAAAGAATGACTTACATATTATACGTCTCTTAAATGGCTGTAAAGTTTAGAAGTTATTGGTAAAAAAAAAAAAAGAGTCCCCTGCATCTGGTAGACAATTGAAGCCGTCTAGAGAGTAAAATACCTATATAAAGACGCGTCATCTTATTTCGGGTAGCCAGAAGGCAAAGAAAGCCACACATTACCAACTCGCGACACCTATAGCAAATAAGAACTACGGTCACCCTATAGCACTGTGATAAATAAATACTAATTCTTGACACTTAAAATTATACAGCTGGCGAGGAAGATAATCTAATGTGTTTACAATTTGCAAGTTAAATAAAGAAGTCTTGGTCTTTGACGGCAAAACAAAACACTTTACATTCCTCTACGGTTTTTGCACTGCCTCTTACAAAATTTTACTGAGACTTTACTATCGTTACAAAAAGACCCCGTTACAGCGGTCCTATGGTACTAATTTACGTGGTAATATATATATTTTTTCAATGATCTTTAATGGTGACTGAGAGGCTGTTACGGTGGACTTGTGGGTAAATATCACAAGTATAACATTGCAACTTACACTAACAGGGAATGATGGATCACTCCCACCACACAACACTCACAAGTCCAGTTATACAATAAAATACATACACAATCATATACATTCATACAGTACATATAGTTACATTCACCCCCCCCCCCCCTAGTGCCTTACTTGTCCACATCTCATAATCCTTCAGGACATTAACAAAGCTTCAGTCTCACCCGCTCCGCTCTACCTGACACACGTAACTTGTTTAATATTCACAGGGCTTCCAGAACGATATTATCTCTTGTACTCATATCAATAATAATTTTTTTTTTATTTCTTCTGTTCACGGGCTTGTATATAGGCGAGTGACGATGAATAGGAATAGTCCAAGTGGCATCATATGAGCGCTAGGCAAAGGGTCCTCTGGGCAACACCTGACTGGCGTTACGCGTGTCTACAAGCGGACTGATAAATGGAAGAATTATGGTAACTAGAAGAATTATGGTAACTTAAAGGTTCTGTTATGGTGACTAAAAGGTTCTGCTGTAACTTAAAGGTTCTGTTGTAACTTAAAGGTTCTGTTGTAACTTAGGGGGCTCTGTTATGATAAATAGAAAGTTTTGTTATGGTGAAATAACCTAGGGTGTTTATTCTTCAGATCACAACATTTTGAAAATACCTCCGTTAATACTTTTTTAATCCACATCCTGCCATTGTTCACATACACCCTTCTCGTTCACCTTCCTAACGCAGCAAATAATTACTCCGGGTCATAATACGGTTTTAGGTAGCAGAATCTTCGCGCCTAAATTACCGGGTGACTTGATTCTTTTGTTTCCAGCTGAGAGCGTCGTGGGCGTTGTTGGGCGAGGGAGGTGTGAGGAAGAAGGAGGAAGTGTGAGGGAGGAAGGAGGAGGGGTGTGGGAGAGGAAGGAGGGATGTGGGAGAGGAAGGAGGAATGTGTGAGAAGGAAGGTGTGGAGGAGGAATGTGTGAGAAAGAAGGTATAGGGGAAGAGGGAAGATAAATATGTGGGGAGTTGGGAAGGTTGGGGAAGAGGAATGTAGGGGAGAAGGAAGAGGGGTTGGGGAGCAGTAGAGGGGAAGAGTGTGTGGGGAGAGAGGGGAGAGGAAGGAGAGGGGAGGATGAGGAGGAGGGAAATTGGAGAGTAGAGGAGGTAGAAGGAAGGTCGGGGAGAAGGGAGAGTGGAGGTGGAGAAGGGAGAGGAGCAGGGGTGATTATCACACACAATTGGCTGAGAGAATTACAGTGTGATTCACGCGCTGCAGGAAGGTCGGGCAGCAAGGTTGCCAGGGTGACGTACACAAGGTAGTGATGTGAATTATTTTTCTTGGCAAACACCGACTGTGTTTCTGATGGTGCTAAGTAGAGATAATCGTCGATAAATACAAAAGTAACTGAAGTGTTTGCCAAAAAGATCGTTTTTAATTCATATATGGAAAGATTTGTTCTTACAGCCATAATATAGCAATTTATAGCCAAGTAGATTAGTCATTGTTAGGTTAGGTTTTGTATATGACCAATCACTAAATGTATTTTATTACCTACTGTACGTAAACGTGTTTATCCAGTCAGAAGCATTTATAAAAGATAAATACATAAAAGTTATCGCGAATATGCAATTACGTATTCCTATTTAGTGTAACACAATATATATATATATATATATATATATATATATATATATATATATATATATATATATATATATATATATATATATATTATTCAGTGCATTGACGTACAGAGAAGAACGAGAGTGGTGGTGGGGAGGAGAGGAAGTGTGGCAGACGGCAAAGCAGCTCACAACACCGACAATATTATTTACAGCATAGTCCCGGGACCTCTTCCGTTCTCACACTACTGCTTGGTCAAGCAACAGACTGTTTCCCATTCTCTCTCTCTACACATATATATATATATATATATATATATATATATATATATATATATATATATATATATATATATATATATGTGTGTGTATGTGTGTGTGTGAAAATATATACGCACTGCCTTAAAACTTTCCTGGAGATCTCATGAAGTCTAGTAATGTATTAGAAAAGCAATATTATGATCAATTGTGGGCGACCTCACATATAACAAGTGAGGGCAGAACTGCTGTTGGAGTGTACAGTACCGTATGCATTCAAGCGATCTCCACGGAAATCTGTAAAGGAGTGTGCATAATTCCTTTTCTGAAACACATACACACGCACGCACATACACTCATACTTCCCAAGCTCACCTATGTCTCCCCTGTCTGGTCTTCCTCCCTAAATGCCACATAACGCAAACACCTAAAAAAAAGTACAAAAGGGCATGCAAGATTATTCTCTCCCCTTCCTGTTCCACATGTCAAGAAGCGCTCAACACACTGACCCTCTCGGCTCTCTCTGACCTTCACCACGACCTCATCTGCAAATTTGGTGAGAAGCTTCTGCACCATCCTCACCGCCGGCTCCTACTACCACCCGAGATCCCTCGTCTGCGAATTGCTGTTCGACACCACAACCGTATCCAGCCCATACGAGCACGTACTGATCACTATAAGAACAGCCCAGCCCCAACCATTGTATAAATTATCAACAACTCGTAACCAACCAGTGTATTCACTCCCAGTCAATCTTACCTCTGCACTGTCACTACGTTGAAATGTCCTGTAGTACGAACTTCTCCCCACCTAGTCATTATATATCATATTTGTTAATACGAATCACTTATGCTACTTGTATATTATTTGTCAATCAAGTGACCCATTCCCCAATTATGCAACTGTATATTTTTAACCTTCCGGCTGCCATGCTCTTTCAATAAACCGTTAATTATTATTATTATACACGCACACACGCACACACACACACACATACACAAATACCTATACAGTACAAAAATAAGGATACAATATCTAAAGTGTCACATCCTCCCCCCAATTGTCTCTGTAAAAACGTTTTGGTCTTTATTCTTATGTACAGTATTTCTGGTGAGGTACTCCAGTGTTTCAACCATGCGAGTGAATGACAGTCAATAAATGAAGCTCCTCAATAATTAACAAGTTTAGCCGTTATATCGAACTAGTGACACTATTACTGTAAATTAAAGTAGTTATCGCTGGAGACCGTCTCGTGTCATCGCTTTAGATAGGTCATGTGGGGTCCAAAAATCCCCACGCCGAACCTATATGAACATAAGTGTACAAGGGTAAAAAAAATTAATATAGCCTACTAATCTATATTTTCATATATACTGTACTGTACTCAGCTATTTATTTATTTTTGTTTTCATTTTCAGTCAGAGGCCTAGCTAAGACTTTTAAGGGTTTGTATATGCCTTTCAATTTCATTCAATGTAACTTCCTGATTTTTGTTTCCTCTGGGGTCTGTGGGTCCACCATTACGTTGTGTTTAGAAAATTTTTACCATTACCTATCATCATTTTTTAACTCGGGAAATTCTGTCTGGTATCGATCCGTTACTATACAAACACTAGGTCAATTTAAGCGCGATTTGCACTATAATTTTATCGTCTTAATTTTGTCACATGTTAAGCAAATTTATTAAGTTTGGTACAAAACCGCAGACCCATTTACGAGTTATTTTGGGGACACACCGACAGACAGACAGGACTGGACATTATTACTCTGCCGCGCCGTTGAGATATTGTACACAGATGGTGAAAAACCCTGGGGCCGCCGCACGCCATACTTCCAGATAATCTTACCCATTGCTATAACTAAAGTAATACAAGTGCAGGTGTTTTCTGTGATAGCTTCAGGGAGGACAGCCGAATCACACTCCCCACACTCAGAGGTTCGTAGGGTTCACCTGGACCGTATCTCATGGGTCAATTGGGTCATGGCCGTTGAAGTGTTATATATTGT